CAAGGTTGTGTTGGCTTTTTGCAGTCCCAAAAATGGAGAAATAAGAAACAAAAAAAAAACGAAATTGCCCTTCTTTACCTTCTCCACATTCACACCTTTTTTACTAGGCATGTGTTGTTTGTGTTTGTATAATTTGTCCTCTCTTTTTAGTTCAAGATTTGGTGGCGAAGCAAGAAGAAAGTTTTACAAGTATTTTCACCCTTTCTCGCTCTCTCTTTTGCATATGTTTCTCTTGATCGTGATTATGTCAGGGTAAAGATGATGATGGTAAGAAAAACAATGGTGCTGCAACAAAAGTCACATTTAAAAGTTCTTGGGTTACGAAAATACACTAAAGTCTCAATATTTTCAACGATTTGGCAAGAATGTCCTAAACTTTATTTTTTTGACAGTAAAGTCCTAATTGACGATTTGCAAAGAAAGTCCTAAACTTTATTTTTTTGACAAAAAAGTCCTAATTACCGGCTAACCGGAAAAAGGGTAAAAGTGTCAAAAACTGCCGGTAATTTGGACTTTATTGTCAAAAAAATAAAGTTTAGGATTTTCTTGTCAAATCGAGGAAAATATTGGGACTTTACTGTATATATCCAATTTTATAATTATCTAGTAAACAATTAAAAGATAATTACCAAATACAACTATCCTATCCAAAACCCTAATTTCGAAATCCATGACTTGGGGTGGAAGACAAGGCTTTCAACCTTGCCTAATTTTCGAAAACCCTAGGGTTAGGAAACCCTAGATCTCGAAAATATGGAGGCCAAAGGAAAGGGTTTAAAAACCCTTAGCAATTTTCGAAAAACTAGGGTTATAAACCCTAATTGCGAAAATCATAGGCCTTAGGGTTTAATTGCCATAAACCCTAATTTTGTCAAGTTCAATCAATTGTATAAAATCTAATTGAAAACAAAAACCATACGCTCTGATATCACTGATGGGTTTTATACATAGCAAACAATCCTATGTGTGCATGCAACCCTAATTGTTTGGATCTATGTTTTCTCTATTAGACATACAAGCATTGAACACAAAACTAGAAACCCTAGGAGGCATGTACTATTTTCGAAATCAACATAAACTAGGGTTTAGATACATACCTTGATTTTATATAGCAATAACAATGAATCCTTGAAGATCTTGAACTCTTGAGAGCAAGTGCCTCAAATGTAACACCTCTAATGGCTTACAAACACTCTATGCAAGAGGATGAGAGGATAGAGGAGGAGTAAGCACTAGAATTAGGCTCTACTAGGGTTTGATAGCATGGGAGGCCGAAATTCTAAGGGGTTGGGGTCTTTATATAGTTATTGGTTGCTTAGTCCCAAAGCTAGGGTTTGCTGGAGGAAACCCTAGTTTCCAGCTTAGGGCCTAAACAACCCATGGACTCCTTATTTAAGAGCCTTGGACAAAAACTTATAGGCCCTCCCTATAATTTTCGTCTACTATTTTCTAAGGGATCCAATAGCCCAATTTCATAACTATCAATAAATTGCAAAACAGCCTTGCACTTTTAGTTAATTCCTTTAATCCCAAAATTAATTCCAAATTAATTTCTGATTAAATATTAATTAAACAACATGATTTATAATTAATATATTATTCTCATAATACATTAATAAATCATTTATATCAAATTATTATTCCAAATAATAAATTCAACCTCTCTCTCCAAAAGTCATCCTGTCAAGTTGCTAGAGTGAAGGCAACCCAAAAGGATTGTGCTACTATCAATTCATGTATATACCAATTATAGTTATGGGCTTAGACACCTAATCCAACATAAAAATGTCAACTTACCAGGTGAGTAACACTACTCCAATATCCATAGTTGCGATAATTGTGATGATTATTATATAATTGATTGTTATTTAGAATATTAATTGTTGATTGAGAGATTGAGGAAATATTGAGAAATAGATTATAGATGAGAGATTGGATTATATTGATAGATTAATATTTGATCGGTAGATATATTATGATTGGAAGATATAACACATTTGATATATTGGTCATTGAGCATGAGATTTAATATGAGTGTGATATTGATTACTGATTGGACAGGTATTTGATAGATTATTACCGAAGAAATGAATCATTTGATGAAATGATTACGTATGTGACAATTATGTGGAATATACATGATTTACATTATTTGTATGATTTATGATTTATTTGATTATGTTTTAGTAGTTGTTATTCACTAAGCCGTGAGACATACATTTTTGTGATGATCTGTTTTGCAGGTAGATTTATTGTGACGCCTGGCTCGATCATGTACTTGCTGCCAGCACGATCCTTGTGATAACTTCTTGTATGCCAGAGTTGTTTGATAAGGTGTCTAAGTCCATAACTATATTTGGTATGTACTTGACCCGATTTAGCATGGTCCATTTGGGTTGCACTTCACCGGAACAATTTGGATTTTGAGAAGAGGATATGTATGATTTATTAATATATTAGTATTTATAATATATTAATATGAAATCATATTATTTAATTGGTACTGATCAATAATTAATTTGGAATTAATTTTGTGGTCAAAAGAGACTAATTAAATATATAGGGATTGATTGTGTAAATCATTCATTCTTATAATGTGGGCTAGTGATCCATGATTCCTTATGATGAGCTTAACCCATGTAGTGACCCATGGGTGCTCCATGGAGGTTAAAACCCATGGATCATGAGGGATGTGGAGAGTCATGAGTTACATGGTGTAACCCTAATGTGCACATTATATAAGAAGCCCTTTGGTTCAAGAAAATGGGACCCTAGTATATTGACAAGGATAGGCCGATTTTTGTGAGCATTGTAGTTCTCTTCCAAGTTTCCAAAGTGTTGGTGGTGATTTGTGATTCCACTTAAGGCATTCACATTATTGGTGCTAAGCTCTTAAAGCTCCAAGCAATTAGCCACAACAAAAGGTATGTTTCCCAACTTGTTTTATTCACTATGTATCAAAGTTTTGTATGCTAGTTAGGATAATACCTTGGAAACTTCAAGTTTGCATGTATAATAGTGAAAACATAGATCCAAGGTATTTAGGGTTGCATGAACACCTTAGGAGTGTTAGAATTCTCAAAACCCTTCAAGAGTGCCATTGTACACTAAGATTAATTGTAAAACTTTTAAATGATTTTTGATAAAATTGGGTGTACCTTGGTAGAAAAAAATCTGGGCGTTACACGGTCATGGCCCATTATATGTTTGATATGTATGATATGTGGTCTTTTGGAGAACTCACTAAGCTTTGTGCTTACAGTTTTCAGTTTATGTTTCAGGTACTTCTGGTTTAAAGAGGAAGAGCTCGGGATGACTGCACTACACACACCATATTGTTGCGCATTTTACATGACTCTAATGATTTTGGGTATTATTTGATATACTCTGATTTCACTATGGTTTTATGGTATTGATATGGATGATAGTTTTATTAATATAAAAATCAAAATTTTTGGCCTTAATTGTTGGGATGTTACACTATAAGCCATCGGAAACAACCATACAACAACACCACTTACCCTCATCACCAAATTCATCAATGAAGAAGTGTCCATCTAAATAAGACTTAGTCGATTATGGTCCGTATTAACTGAAATATCTTGTTTAACTGAAGAATCAACCATGTGTTGGGTTATGAGGGATCTAAAATGACACAAAGGCGCAAAGTGAAAGCAACATGTTTGTGTGTGGGAAAATTAATGTATTTTAATTGTTTTGTCTATTTCAAAGAAATGGAAGTACGATGCTAAGATTTCAAAGAAATAAAAGTACGATGTTATTTCATGTTATTTACGTGTGTGCTGATGTTTGTGTGGGAATGTTAATGTAGTTTTATTTTATATGTGTGTTGTGTATCTAGATAGTTATGTACCTTTACTATTGTTTTTTTAAAAGAAATGGAAGTAGGACGCTAATATTGTCAAAGAAACAAAAGTACAATGTTATTTCATGTTGTGTTTGTATTGCTAGGAATCATTTTTATAAGATGAAAGTTAGGTTTATAGTTTGCTCATGCAGATTCTCCTCTTTCTCCTTTTCTACTTCTGCTAGGATTATAGTGTGCAAAAATGGGTGGAAAACGTAATAGGGACCAAAATTTTATAAAAACGGTCAATGTTTCATTTTAGACCTACACTTTGGACACTTGCTTAAACTTAACCAAAATCCAATTTTTATTATTTTTAGTACTTTCAGCAATAATAAAACACATGTTATTAAATGTATAAAATGATCCATGTAAACATTCTTTTCTACATTTATGTTTGTCTTTATGACATTTAACACCCTATAACTAATTAAATGTCATTTCACCATTTTAAAAAAAATTTAAATATTAAGTAAACCTTATAATATTAATTAATATTATTTAAACTTTTATAATTTTTATTAAATAAACAACTTCATAGTATAACGATAACAAATGAAAATAAAATGTTATAAAAAAAAAACAATTTATAGTTTTGCATCCATCAACGTTAACCCAACAACCACACAAATATAACACTAGGGGGTGTTTGGGATTGCGTTTGAAAAGTGTTTATTGGATTATTGGCTTTTTGAAAAACTAATAAGTCAAAAAAAATGTTTGACAAACTCAAAAGCATTTTTCAAGATAGCTTTTCCATAAGCTTCAAAAAACACTTTTTAATAAGCATGTAAAACGTGGCTTTTTGAAACTGCTTATGGCTTTTCAACCAAAATAACTTCAAAAATCACTTTTTAAGCCAAACACTTTTTAACTTATTGATTTATTGGCTTTTTCACTATAAAAATTTATCCAAATACTTTTTAAAAAACCTCTTTTACCACCGCTATAAACAAATAAGGACTTATATCTAAAAACATTTTTAGAGTTAAAAAAAGCACAAACATCCCCTAGTTCGGTTTTGTAGTCAAAATGCATTTTTACCCATTTCTATTTTAAGAAAAACAAAAAGGGGATAGACTTTCTCCCATACCCAAACACCACCATATCTTTTCACCCTATATAAATCACCTCATACAAATTCATCTGCCATTGCCAAAACACAAATCAACCAAATTCCATCTCAGTTCAGAGGTTTTGTGATGAGTTTTATCGTCGGAAGATTGGCGGCAGGCAAAGAAGGCGCTTACTTCTTACAAAAATCCAAGCACGCCGTCGGTCGACTCGTTGAAAAAACCAATAAGTCCACCACTGCCGTCACTAATCGTCCTCCGGCGCCCACAATTCATGAAGTCCCTGACAACCAAAGCGATATCCTTCCGGAGATTTTGAAGCATAATTTACCGTCAAGGATTTTCCGACCACCTTCCGATTCGACTCTGTCGACTGGATCCAAGTGGCTTCTCAACTCCGATGAAAGCAACGGCGTCTCTTCTGTATCACGTGATGCTATAAACCCTCTTAGGGCTTACGTATCCCTTCCCCAAGTCACTTTTGGACCCAAAAGGTACTTCAGTTTTGCGTACTCTGTTAGCCTTATATATAACTCGCTCGATTTTTGGACAAACGTATGTAATTTCGAGCTTAATGAAGCATTTGATTTATTTTCTCAAGCTCTAAATCATATGGTTTTGCTTTCTGGAATGCAAGAACATTATGAAATCTGATTAAAGAAGATAATTAACTTTGTGTTTCAGTAATCCCGATAAGCCTTGTTGTTTTAGGAACCATGGTTTTCAGTTTTCAAATCGATCTCTGAGGTTTTTATCTTACTTGCAGATGGCAGTTTCCTAACACAGAGCATTCATTTTCTCCTTCAACCGCAAATGAACTGCGTAATGACAAGTACACCCCAATTAATCCTGAGAAGTTGAAGGCTGCAGCTGTTGGATTATCACAAAGTAGGTTTCGTTTCATGTTTTCATAACTTGTTCATCTTTCACTCACTCACTAGATGACTTCATACTGATGCATAATCATTACAAGTTCTGAAACTGAGATTTGCTATTTGTAGTATTTGTTATTAAATTGATTGAAGAACATGATATGGTTTATGCCATTATGGAGATTAACATGCTCAATTTTCCCTTATCTTTTTTGAACCCTAGTTGCAAAAGCATTTGCTGCTGCCACTGTTATTATCTTTGGTGGAGCCACATTGACTATTGGACTTGCAGTTTCACAGCTTGAGCTACATACAGTAAGTGATATTTTTGCAGTTTCTTGATCTTTGAAATTATGATTATCTATGAATTACATTGTTGACATTTTCAAGGAACTTTTCATGTGTTTTTCAGACTGATGATATTCGAACCAAAGGAAAAGATATCATTCAACCAAAATTCGAATCAATCAAGGAACAAATGGGCCCTTTAAGAACTTGGGTATGTTAAAATATCAAATAACTTTCAGCTAAGATTTTTAATTACTTTAGTAAAATTCGAATCAGTTTAATGTAGTTTACTAAATTTTCAGGCAGAAGGAGTAGCTAAGGAATGGCATATGGAGAAAAAGGAAGACATGAAAGAGAAGCCTCTAATTAAAGAGCTTTCAAGAATGTTGGGTGCCAAAAGATTTACCTAATAAGTCAAAAGTCAGTAGATTTCTTCTACTTTGTTATACATGCGAATGATCATTTTTGTAAATAAGTTAAATGAATAAATAATTTAGTCAATCTTGTTGTATACTTGTATCATATGTTTACACTATGCTAGAAAAGCATTCATTAATATATAAACTCATGTTTTACACTTTAAATACCACAAATTTGATACTATTGCCTTTGGTTCTATGTACTCTTGGTTGCTTCTTCACTTTCAAATTTGTAGTCTAAACCAGCTCCATATTTCCATGCCTCAAGTTTCCTATTCCATTTGTACTTCATCTCAGTTGAAAACGTATCAATCACAGACCTATCAGAAAGTTAAAAATTTGGTATAATCATCTTACAATCTAAAAGGCATATTATATAATAATTAATAAATTATAATTATATAAAAGGTAATACCTTAATAATGGGTCAATGAATATGGAAAGAAATGTATAACAACCCAAAAGCGAAAAATGTCCTAGCCAGTCTATGAGTACAGGTAACCCAACCTGTTAAACCAAACCATGGTTAAGTTAGTTTATAAATCTGATGTTCTTTTAGTGAATATATATATATATATATATATATATATATATATATATATATATATATATATAATTACTTTTTTATTTACCTGTTTAAATATTGAAGGAAGGATTTGAGGTTTAGTTAGCATAACTAGGCCTAGTGTCTTCACGAGAGGACCAAATTGTATAACATCTTGAAGAAACGGTCTTAACACTGGTTCCCCTAGTCTCTGAGGAAATGCTATGAAATTAACCATGGTTAATATGGTGAGTTAAAAGCTAGAAAAGGTTCATACCTGCATGCTGATGAAATTGGCATGGAGAAGGTCGTTGATGAAATCTGGTGGGACCCCGGCTTGTTTTCTTGCTGACATGGCTCTTTGGAATAACCAAGATGCACTTAAGTTTGGCTGAAAATATATATATATATATATATATATATATATATATATATATTTTATTATATTAAACTAAAACAGTAATATTAATTTAATTAGGGTTTATTGGGGAGGAAATGGGGACCATGTATGGATTTAATAACGATAGATTGTCAGAATCCAGGAGATTGGAACTGATAGCTTCGTGTATTCCTGATAAAAAAAAAGATGAACACATTGGTAATCATGGAGGCTAGTTTGACTTTGACTTTTGACTTTTGACTTTTAAGTTACCATTTGATATTCTTCCAAGGTGTCTAGTCAAACTCCCGAAACCACCAAAGGAAACTGGAGACTGTATTCCACTTGCATCACCAAACTGTAGAACACGATTGAAAGCTGCTGGCAGTGGACTGCAGATTCATTTCTCCACAATGAATTAAAATGAGAAAAATTAGATTTTTATATATGGGAAAAGAAAAAAAGAAAAAGATTCTATCAGATTGCATTTTTTTTTTACTTACCTGTCACGATAAGTTGGGAAAATTCCATATATAACCCTGAGAATCTCTAGATCGTCCAACGAGACTTCCTGGGTGCAAGTGGAAGAAGATCAAAATCTTGGGTATCAATCAGTAAATATTAGCATGAAATCAAGAGACGTCTATTTTTCTTTTTTAATTAATAAATGTTACCTGATATTTTGGCATTAAATCCCAATAATCTTCTAGTAAATCTTCAAGTTTAGGGCTAGCAGGTTGTGGATCAATGTAAGTGAACATGTAAGTAGTTCGATCCAACGGTCCAGAACCAGCAGGGAATGCCTGTTGTTGGTTTACCAAAAAACATTAATTCAATTAGTATTTTAATCCAATTCCAAACAAACATAAATGATAAATGATAATTAGTGAATTACCTCCCAAAAGTATTGTGCTTGAGAGTTTCCAACTGGCTTTGCTTCTGCACTACTATAAATGACATCGCTTCTAGAATTTTCCTTGAAACCACGACAACAAGAACCAACAACAAGGCAAACACCATCCGGCTTCCTGCCACCTCTAATCTGTTTGTTTATATTATGTTTCTACTAAAATCAGCTTCTTACACTTTGATTATAAATGGAAGAAAAAGATTTGTTTTAGTTTTGTCATAACCTGTTTTAGCACAGGCGAAAAATTTCCCATTGCATCAATTATGAGACTAGCTGACAAAATCTTTCCCTCCATTAGTTCTAATACCTTCAAAACAGAGTCAGTTATCAATATTCATCAACCAAAGCTATTTATTTAAGCAAATAGCTAATAAAGTAGAAACATATGTTCTTGGCATTAAACTAAGGATCTTACTGCTGTATCTTGATAAACATTTATGCTAGACACACTGCAGCCCTCAAAGACTACTCCACCAAGTGAATCAAATCGCTCCCTCATAATATCTATAAGTTTTGCAGGCCTACAATATATATATATATATATATATATATATATATAAACCACTATATCATGAATTAATTAATTAATCATCATAATTTATTATATTCTATAGAAACACTTACGAAACACCAAGATTAAGAATGTTTTCAACCCATATCTCCCCCTTCCTCTCAAATCCACATCTGTTCTGCAATGCAAATTAGAAATAACAAGAATGAATGATCATTTGAGTTCAAGATAAATAAACCAATTAAAATTTTGTTAACTGAAAGTTGGATACTACAGTATTATATTATTTTACGGGATTAAAAACTGAAGTTGTGGCCTCTTCAATGTCATCTTCTGTTAAGATGCCAACTTCAACAAGTTCCAAGAGCTCTTTCTTTGATATATTCCACTCTTGTTCCCTCTGATATTAATCCAAACAAAATGTCATTAGATTAATTCACTTAAAATTTTTAAAAATAGCACACCAGAAAGTACATAGTACATAGTACATACATACCCCTTTTAGTAAGTTTCTTTCCACAACTCCTACACGGAGGCCTTTCAAACTTAATGCAGTGGCAATAAAGATCCCTAAAGTACCTCCACAAACCAACACATCAAATTTATCCACTTCCTTCATGTCATTATCAAACAAACCAAGTGTATTTGTCACAATTTTTTTGGGTTCTTGAATAGCTGCTGCAATGCAATTGACACGTAAATTTCATATTAAATTTTGCCAAATTGTGGGAAAACATAACATTGAATTGATGATGATATTGAAATTAACTATCGACCTGTTTCAGCAGAGCATATAGTAGACCACAAACTATCCAATCTCTTCAAAGCATCATAAGAGTATGCCCCACCAGCTCCTCCAACTTCCCCACCTACTGAAATGCTCTCCATTATCCTCTAAAAGGCAAGGGAAGGAAATTTTAGACCCATGGTTCAGGTAGGACGAATATCAAACACCTTGTGTGCATTATATTATACAAACGGGACTGAGGGTTCACAAGCAAGAAATGTGTACCTGAGTTCTTGAAGAGGCCGCTCTTAGTTGCAGAGATAGCTTCCTTGATCTCTGGATATTATTGTAAACAGAAGGGTGTAGAGAAAAGCCATTGCCATTGAGGTTGGAGCTGGATGGGTGTGGTCGAAGCTGAACTTGAATCACAACCATCATACGGTGTTGGTGTTACTTTCTTCTACAAGAGATGTATTTGAAATCCGAGTTTATTATCCGAGTACATGACATTTGTTCGGGATCATTCAATTGGATGTGCCAATTGGATATGCGTAGGAGCATGGTACACGTTAAAGTTAAAAGCAAGCCAATCCATATTATGAGATTTCACACCCTCAAGTTTAAAGATAAGGCTTGATATGCCCAATGGTTATAATATATGTTTAGAATATCCCCTCCAAGTGGTTTACTTATCAATTTACACCCTTAGTTTGTTTTTGTGGTGAATATTATTGCAAATATACGAAGATCCAATTGATAAACGTTAAACACTTTCAAATAAGTTATAAACATGGGGACATTGGGGGCAAAGTGGGCAGCCCAATTTTTTTATTATATATTTTTATTTAAAATTAAAAACTTATAATAATGATAATGATCTTTTTTTTTGGTTCGTTCTAAGCCTTTAAAGATATTTAATTTTTCAGTACCAACCCTGGTTATAAACCACCTTCAAATAAGTTATAAGAGGAAATAACTTATCTAAATTATTTATATAAGGCGATAATCACTTTTTATTTATTCTATCTAAACACTAAAAATGATTGTTAATAGTACCAAACTATAATAAACATCTTAAATAAACAATCTCAAAACACCTTCTCAAATTAAATGAATTGATTTTTCTAAATGTCTTTTAT